CTGTGAGAAAGAGAATCAGGTCTACCCTCACTGGCAAAGCCCTTGGTCCACACTACATCACTGCAGTTCTCTCCACTCTAGCACACTGTTGATCATTCACACCAAGCTCATTACCACCCCAGGACCTCTGCACTTGCTGTTTCCTCTACCTAGCACACCCTTGTTCCATATATGCACGTAACTGCTCTTCATCATTCAGTACTGAAATGAAACCTCCTCAGAAAAGTCCTCCCTGTTCCTTTTTCTACAAACTCTCCCCCACCTCCCCACCAGATCTGTGCATAACTCTTCCTTATCATCATTTAGGACTCACCTCCTCAAAGGCCCACCCTTTAACAGCATGTCTAACACAGACATTCCCTCCCAACCTATCCCCTTACTCCCTTCAGCAGCTAACTTTGTCCCTATTTATCCTATCTGCTTCCTCGCTTGTTTGTTCAAACTGTCTCCCACAGGAGCCTGTATGAATCTTTGAGGGCAGGGTAGATGTCTGTCTTGTTCAGGGCTTTACAGTGGAACTCAATAAATGAATGAATAAAACCCCAGTTAAACAGTGCCTAGCACATGTTTGATCTCCATCACTCTTTGACTAACTGACTCAATGCACCCTCCTCCCTGTCCTGGAGAGCAGGCCTGAGGGGTTCCTGGGTCGGAATGCTTGTCCTCCATCCCAGACACAGCCCTGCGTTGGCGGAGGTGGCGCTGGCTGACATTACCTGCGCCTCACCGGCTTCATGCAGCTCTTCAGCTGCCTGGCCTCAGCCTCCACGGGACCCTGGCACTCGGGCTGTGGCTCCAGCTGCTGCTGCTGGGGCAGCCCTTCGGCATCAGTGGGTGTGGGAGCGGGTGCGATCCGGAGCAGGACTGTGTAGTTGCGGCCGTGGTTGTTGGCCCAGAAAGTGCCCTCGGGGGTCTCATAGCGCACCACGAAGTCGAGGCGCGCCCCATCGCCCGCGCCCTCAGCAAAGGGCAGCTGGAAGGCAAAGCGGTCAGTGCGGCCGCCGTCGTCGGGCGAGGAGGCGGACGCCTGGCCGGGGCCCAGGCCGAGCCCCGGATCCAGGATGGGATCTCCTGCTCCTGTTCCTCCCGCTCCTGCCCACGGCGGGCTGCGCGGGACGTAGCGCGCTGGGTGGTCGCAGAAGGAAGCCCAGCCGTCGTGTGAGGCCCGCACGTGCACCGCCTTCTCGAAGGAGCGGTTCAGCACGCGTACCAACCCGCGCAGCACTGGCGGGCGGCCCCCAGGCACCCACACCCCGGCACCCCCGGGGACCGCTCCAGGAGGCGGCAGCAGCGCCTCCAGCTCCACCATGACGCGCCCCAAGCGCTCCAGACGGCCCGGCGCGGGCGGCAGCGAAAATGTGGGGACCAAATAAAACCCCCCGCCAGCGGGGACGGGGCACAGCGGCGAGGGCTCGGGGCAAGCCTCCTCTTCCTCCTCCCCTTCATCCCCATCCTCGCCATCGTCGTCTTCGTCGGCCCCGCCGCCGCCGCCATCTTGCCCGGTTGCCGCCGCCATCTTGCCCGCCCCGGGCCCGCCCCACGGCCGGTAGCGGCGCAACTGCGCCAGCGGCAGCCCCAGGGCCTCGTCGGCGAACAGCACCCTCCGCGGGGCCACCGCCGCCTCGACCGAGGTGCGGGGCTCACCCGCGGCTGGCGAGGGGGGCGCAGGATGCCGCAGCGGGGGCTCCACAGGGGCCGTACGCGCCATATCGGCGGCGGCGGCGGCGGCGGCACCGACGGCACCGGCGGCGGGACCGGCGGGGGCAGGGCCTGAAGGGGCGGGCAGCCAATAGGAAGGCCAGCGCGGGAGGCTACGGCTCACGGGGGCGTAGGCGGCGAGATGAAGACAGGTATAGCAGAGAGCCAATGGGCAGCCACGCGCGGATGACGTAGCAGTGAATTGAGAGCAGGAGAAGCACGCAGCCAATGGGGATGCCCGGGAGTGGGCGGTGTAGGGGGCGGGATGATCGGGGAATCAATGAAAAGGCCGGAATAGGGTGGTGCGGGATCCAGGATGAAGACAGCAGAAGCAGGAAAGCTAATGCGGAAGTCTGAGCGAGAGCGACATGTGGGCGGTGGGAAAAGTGGAATGGCTACAGGCAATGAGGGCAGCCGGGAAGTAACGCAGAGGCCCGAAAAGTGGGAGATCCCGCGGGTTGCGTAGGCAGTGGAACAGAAGCTAGAGACAGAGAACAGCCAATGAACAGCCGCGCGCGGAGTGACGATAATGGCTACAGCGAGCCAATTGGGAGTCTTGTGAGCGTGCACTAGGGCTTCAAGGGGCGGTGTCGAGGAGGAACTAGCCAATATGAAAGCTAAAAAGAGCCCAAGAGGCGGGTGTGTCAGTGGCCACGGAGGTGGGACCATAGGTGGCCGAGCCAATGGAGGTGGAGGCTGAAGGCAGGAGTGAGGAAGAGAGATGGCGGATAGCCAATGAGAGAGCCAGGGTGAAGGCGGCGAGCCCTCAAAGGGCAGTGCTAATATGGCTTGAACCAATGCCGAGGCTAGAAAGTGTAGTAGGATGGAGGGTGGGCTTGGAGGCGAGACGGGGAAAAAAGCAAAGCCGGCGCGGATGGTGTAGGTGGTGTGAAGGGAGGCATGAGTAGCCAATAAGAAGGCCAGAGGGGAGGATGCTGTATAGGCAGAGTCTGAGCTATCGGGTGGTCGGATTAGGAAAAATGTGCCTCTCAGGGATGGGGTTACTCTCTCCCTAACCCTCCGTGACTCCCTGTTGCCCCAGGAATACCCAGAGGCCCTGAAGGCCTAGACCACACCCTGGTGTGTGACCTAAGAAAGTGAAAAGGACTCTCCTGTTGCAGTTACTTACTGGGTCCTCCCTGCCCAACTCCAAACTTTGCCAAAAGCCGAGAATGCCCCTGATTGTTGGCTGGGCGCCGTGGCTCACGACTGTAATCCTAGAACTTTGGGAGGCTGAGGCGGGCAGATCACGAGGGCAGGAGTTCGAGACCAGTCTAGCCGATATAGTGAAGCCCCATCTCTACTAAAAAAAAATTAACCGGGTGTGGTGGTGTGCGCCTGTAATCCCAGTTACTCCGGAGGCTGAGGCAGGAGAATCGTGTGAACCCAGGAGTCCGAGGTTGCAGTGAGTCAAGATTCTTTCATTGCACTCCAGCCCGGGCAAAAGTGCGAGACTCCGTCTCAAAAAAAAAAAAAAAAAATGCCCCTGATTGTCACCCCCAAGCACTCTCCAGGACTTGGTACTATTGTTGAATGAATAGCCAAATAGGAAATTGAACTTTCTGAAGGATTCACTTTTTTAAATTTCAGGTCATTGAACACTGAGCCTGACTGTGTGCTGCCAGAAGTTGATTGGACATATAGGTAGCCTCTGACTAATAGAATCACAATCAAAGCCCTGTCGTTTGCCCAACCTGACACTCCACACCCTACAGGGGCCTCACTTCCCTGCTTTCTCTGCTCCTACTGTTCCCTCTCCCAAGAGTGCTGTTCCTTCTGCTGCTTCCATCTTGTAAACTCCTTTCACTCTCCCTCTGTAGTCTCACCTTCTGTGGGAACTCAACTGTAGCTTTTGTCCACTGAACACATCCATTCATACATACCTCCTCTATCCTGGGAAGATGTACTGAACACCTACTGAGTGCCAGGTTCTGAGCATGCTGTTATCTCATTCCCAGCAGCCCCTCTCCCCAGGTCTCCATGTCCAGGATGTCCATGAGTTAGAAAGGAATATGTTCAGCTGCAATTAACAGAAAAATCATAAAATAATGGGGCTTAAGCAAGATAGAACTTTATTTTTTCTCACCTAAAAGTTCAAGCTGGCAAATAGTCCGGGGACTCCTCCCTGCCCACCTGGTTTGGGTATTGTCTGTCCTGATCTGGCCCCAATACTCTCAGTCTTCAACGAATTCTTTTGGCTCTCTATTAAAAATATTTCCCAAATCCCTCTCTTCTCACCACCTCCACTGCCAGCACTATCACCAGCACCTAGACTACTGCAGTAGCCAGCTCCTTGCTGGTCCCCTGCTTCCACATTCAGTCCCTAGACCCCATTGGACACTCAGCAGTTAGGGGCTACCTGTTAAATTCTAACATAGTTCATGTTTCTCCTATGCTTGCCACCCTCTCATGCCTTCCTCCTCACTCAGTATTGAAGCCAAAGTCCTTACCATGGCCTACAAGGTCCTGCATGGTCTAACCTCCAAGTCCCCTCTCTGACCTCACCTCCAACTTCTCTTGTTCTCTCCTCACTAACCACACCAGCCTTCTTGAAGACTTTGAACAAATCAGGTACACTCCCACCTCAGAACCTTTGCCCTGGCTGTTACCTTTGGAGTTCCTTAGATATCTAGCTGCTCCCTCCCTCATCTCCTTCAAGTCTTTGTCAGAGGCCCCCGTCGTCTCTGGGGACTTTTCCTGACCTGTTTAGTACTTCCCACTCTTCCCCAACTCCTAGCCCAGAAGCCCTCCATGAGAGAGGATATAGTCCAGTATAGAGGGGAGGTCTTGACCCCCAGCCCCCATTCTGCAAGGATCCTGGCTTTCAGCGATAGTAGCATCTCCTTCACACACCCTGGGCCCTGCCCAAGGGGCTAGCTGACATTCTGGGCCACCACCGTCACTCCATTTGCCTCCTATCTCTCTGGCCATTCTCTTTCATGGAGTGAGTGACAGTAAGGGATGGATGGTCTGGGGAAGGGGTAAGGAGGATGCAGCCCAAACCTCTGATCCTGAGAGAGAAAACTAGCCCCCTTTTCCAGGAAGGGACAGGTGTGGGGGCAGGGAACAAGGCTTCTGCTGATAGAACTGGCCTGGTTTATCATTACACAGGAGATGTAGGGAACATTCCGACCCAAGTCTGCAGGGAACAAGGGGTCATTAACCTTGGGAACATCACTGCAAGGGGTCATTAATCTTGGGAGCATCACTGCAAGGGGTCATTAACCTTGGGGGCATCACTAGAGTCGGCTCCCCAGGTCTCCTTCCTGACATGCATGCCCTTTACCCCCTCCCTTGCTCCCTCCCACATGCTGTGACATCTGTTAAACACCTGCTGTTCACGGGGTCCCTGCAGGCCTCCAAGCAGGGGACCTCATCCCACCTTGGTGCCTCCCTTAGCTGTCCAACACATTGAACACATGCCATTTTTTGGATCTCAGATGTGTCCCACCAACTCAGAAGCCTCAACCAGTGAAAGTTTTGTTTTGAACTAATGGTAGAGAAGGTTGGGTTTTTTTTTTTTAATTGTTGTTGTTGGCTGATTTTTTTAAGGTCTTTTTTTTTTTTTTTTTTTCTATTCGAGCTTTTTTTTTTCTTGTCTTCACAAAGCCAGGCCATCAGGCCCACTCTGGGCTTTTCCAGAAGGGTAAGTCTGAGTTAAGGAAGCAGGCCCTCCTTTTTATGAGGGCTTAGACGGTGGAGGGAGGAAAGGGGACAAAAGGGTGAAGGGGTGGGTCTTGGCTACCAGATTTGTACCATGTAAATAAAAAGCTTTTTCCAGTTTCTCTTCCCCAGGTCTGAAGCCAGTCTTGTAAAGGGCTGGAGTGGACATGGATGACTAGAACCCTGGGCTTTGCAGGGTGCTGGGAGCTGGAAGTCTCCATCATGGCCTGTCAGGAGAAGCCCCTGGGGGCTGGTCTACCATGCTGACCAGTGGTTGGAGATTGTGCCTGCTGAGGTCAAGAAATGTAGCTGCTAATTGCTGGACAACTTAAAAACCTCACAAGCTTCAAGTCTCCAAGGACTCTCCAAATCCCAGAATCTCCCTGTCATCACATCCTAGAATTTAAAACCTGAGACCATCAACTTCAAGAAAACTTGGGGATTTCAAAACCTGGCACCAAAGAAAGCAGGACCTACACTCGTCAGCTCTGTGATCTTGGGCAAGTTGCTTGACTACTTATGCCTCCATTTCCTTCATCTGTGTAACAGCAATACAATAATGATGAGATGGAGCTCAAGGGGCCATGGTGAGGTTTGAACAAGATCGCTTGTGAGATGTGTTCAGCGCTGTATCTGACCCACGGAAAATTCAAGATAAACATCAGCTACTGAGATGATGGTGGATATTTAGAATCTTAAATCCTTGGAAACTAGGGCTTTTCGAATTAAAAGATCCCAAAGGCTGAGCGCCTCAGAAGCATCAGGCCATGTTCCTGAAAGTAGAGGGTCAGGATCCCAGTGGGCCTCTGGGCTTCTTCGTGAGGATGGACGCATTAATACTGGGGACCTTCCCAGTGGGGCAGTGGCTGGGTCAGGGCACTCAAGCCCTAAAGCGTGATGAGGCAAGACTTTCCTCTCTTTCCTCATTCAGTAACTGTCAGTGGATTCTGGGAGCCAGTGATTCTCCGACTCTTCGATTCTGTGAATTGTAGGGGATGACGGTGGGCTCCCGCTTTCTCCTCCGTGAAGTAACTTACATGGCTCTCACCCTCTGTGGGAGGGTTGTTGCAGGGGGGTCCAGAACTCCCCTCTCTGGATAGAGCAATGGGGACCATACCAATTCCATCTATGGGGAAACTGAGGCCTGGAGCAGGGTGAGGCCTCTGGAAACCCAGCCCTATTCCTGTCCCTTTCCCTGGCATTTCCCATCCACACATGGGGCTTCAGTTTCTCTCTTTCCCCAGAGACCCTCAAATATCCTCTCACTCACAGAATGGTGTCTCTGCCTGCCTCAGGATGGCCCTGTGATTTATTTTAGTTCTTTTCCCTGGTTGCTTTTTTTTTTTTTTTTCAAACTTTACACACTTTTGTTTTAAAAACTGTGGTTTCTCATGAGAGCCCTGTTATCTCATTGATACCTCTCACCTCTGTGGTGAAGGGAAGAAATCATATTTTCAGATGACTCGTAAAGGGCAAAGAAAAAACCCAAAATTTGAAAATTTCCGTTTAAGTCTCATAATCAAGAAAAAGAGAAACAGAGAGAGAGAGAGAGAGAGAACTATGAGAACCCCCCCCCCCCGTGATTATCAGCGCACACACTCATCGAAAAAAAAATTTGGATTATTAGAAGAGAGAGGTCTGTGGCTTCCACACCGTGGTTTTTCTTCTCGGTATAAAAGCAAAGTTGTTTTTGATACGTGACAGTTTCCCACAAGCCAGGCTGATCCTTTTCTGTCGGTCCACTTTACCAAGGTGAGTGTCCCCGCTCTCCACTACCAGATGTGGGCCCCATTGGAGGAGATGGCAGAGAGATAGGCACTGCGGGGTCAGGGCCCTCTGATACAGTGGGATGCACCCAGCTACCATGATTCCAGCCAGGTAAGATCTTTAAGAAAATAATAATAGAATAAATGCCAGAAGACTTAAAGGTGAAGTACTTAATCAGGAGCAAAGCTAAATAAATTCGTCAACTGATACATAGATGGGTAGGATTTTTTAAATATATCAGCTGCCAGTCTTTATGGATTTCAGAGCTTTGAACAACTTGAAATGCTGTCCAGGTGCGACTGGAAATTTCAACTGCATCTCTCTCATCTCTTTGTCTCTTAGCTCTTGATGCCTTTCGTCCTTCTTCTGTCTCTCTGCTCACCCTGTCTCGCTCTTTTACATGTTTCTCTGCCTCTCTTTCTCCCACCATCTGTCTGTCGCTACACTTAGACACTCTTTCCCCACATCTCTCCTGGCCTCTGACCATCTCCGCGTCTGTGTCTCCTCCATCTTGACCACACTCCATCGATCTCCTTTCCTCTGTCTCTCCCGCTCTCTTTTCTTGCCTTTCCCTGCCTGCCTTCCCACCCAGCATCCAGCCTAGAGCTTTGTACACAGCTGGTGCTTAATAATAGTAATGTCACTGAGGACCTTTACATTTTACAAGAGTGAGCATCAGTTCTGTTCACCCTAGTAGCAGGAGGATTGCGAGGTGCCGGGGCAAGCTGAGCACTTAACTGAACTTTACTTGTGTCACTTTAGAGGAGACCCTCTGTGGGGGGCGGGGGGACTGGGGGCACTTCACGCCGTTGTCAACCGTGGTTTAGCTGTGCGGACCTACCCCAGGATTGCATGTGTGTGACCAGAGCCCATGTTCAGGAAGCGAGCAGGTTGTTCACGGCTGGGGTGAGCTCGATTCTGCAGGCTTAGCAAAGCGTTTGGCACACAGTAAGTGCTCACGAAGTATTAACTATTAGTATTTCTGTAACCATATTAGAATCATGCTATATATTGGCTTTGTTTCTGCTTTATTCAATTAACAGTAATGTTTTTGAAACTTACTAAAAATGGTTTAAACACATGATCTTTCATGATGGACAAGACTGTCCTCACATCAGCATGAACTTTGATTAATTTGACCAAGTGCCAATTGTTGGACATTCCAGTTGTTTCTAGTTTTTTTTTCTATAAACATCCCCGACTGCTTCCTTGGATTCCTGAAAAGAGAGTTGCTGGGGCAAAGGGGTCGGGCGTTTTTAAACTTTACGACCCTCTCTGCAAATTGTCCTTCGAAAATGTTGTCCTATTTTATGTTCCCTCTACTTAGCTAACCTTGGGTGAGTATTATTTTTTTTAATTATTTCCCACCATGACGGGTAAGAAAAACACATTATCGCATTGTTGAAATTTGCATCTTTTGATTACTTTTACTGTTTATTAGCCATTTGTCCTTTTTTTCTTTTCTTTTTTTGGTTGTCTGGTTATGTCTTTATTCCCGATAGTGTGTTCATCTTATTTTTCTCTTATTGATTTGCCACAACTCTTTATTTGGAATGGTTATTAACCTTTCATCAGCCATACATATATATAGCAAAGATTTTCCCCAATTCATCACCTGTTTTATTTTATTTGTTTATGGTGTTTTTTGTGATGCTTATGATGGTTTTATATAGTCAAATAAGTTAGTCTTTTTTTCCTGTGGCTTCTGTCTCTGGTTTTATGCTTAGAAAGTCCTTTCCCACTTGAAAATGAGATAAATGTTCACCTGTTTTGGCTTCTAGTCTCTTTTATGGCTTCATTTTTTCCATTTACTGTAGAGGTTAAGAATGTGGGTACTGGAGCCAGACTGTCTGGGACAAACCCAGCGTCACCCCAAGCCCTGTGTGAGATTTTTAGCCAGGCACTTAACCTCTCCTTACCTACATTTCCTCATATGTACTGTGATGATTATAATAGTACCTTCCTCAGTAGTCTTTGTTTAGATTGAAATTTTTAACCACAGTAAATACTTAGCACAAGGCCTGACACACAATAAACCCAAGATCAGCATTAGGTATTAAAATGTATATCTTGAATGGGTCTGAGTCTTTTAGGGTATATGATGATGTGCCATTTCAAACTGGGCAGGGAGGGGTTGTTGGGATAATGGACTGATTATTCAGCCAGTAACTTTATCTCCTCCCTAATCATCTCAGACACATTTGTTAAACAATCCACCCTCTACGATTCTCCAGTTTGATGTGCCACATTCAGCACAAACTCAGTTCTCTCCATATGTGGGTCCATGTCCAAGCTTTCTATTCTGTTCTCTTCCCTAGTATCTGTTCTTACACCAGGGCCACACTGTTTTTCTGATTGTTGCTTTGCAATACAATTCAACACCCAACTATGGGTGTCCCTGGCACCTTGCCCTTCTTTATTCATTATTATTTCAGACAGCATCAGTTGAACCAGCCAGAGACCAGAAAATGTTCTTATTTGAGGAAATCCTCTCGCACTCGTGCACTCTTGCTCTCTGTATGTGTCTCTGTTTCTCTCCATGTCTCTCACTATCTCTTGTTCTCTCTCACTCTTCGTATGTGTCTCTTTATCTCTATGTATCCCTACCAGTCCCCTAGATAGAGGGGCACTTGTCAACTTGAAGCCCTGAAGACACCTAATGACTTGCCCAGACACAGCATAGAAGGGCCCTGGCCCTCATCTACCCCACACCGCTCCCCATTCACTGTAGAAGGGCAAATTGAGGACTAGAGAGCCCAGGGCCTCACTGAAATGCAGCAGCAGAGTTGAAACTCAAGCCTAGATCTCAGGACTCTAGGTAGGATCCTGGCTGTGGCTCTCTCCCCGACTGCAGGCCTGTTTACCCTTCAGCACCCATAAGGGGAAGGGGGATCTCGGCCACCATTCCCCCTTCTGCCTTCTCACATGTTGGACCCTAACTTCTCACAGACTAGATGATCCACGATCACAGCATGGGGCCCAGCCTCATAAGAGCTGGGCTAGGTGAGGCCCCAGGCCCCATAGGTCAAGAGGCCTAGTTGACCAGAGTATGGTGATGATGGAAGCATGTCAGTCAGTCAGGTTTTGTGTCCCTAGAGCTGGTGCTGGTCTCTGAGAACCTTGATCGTGGGGCCCGTCCAGAGAGTTTGGTGGTGGGTTCTGTATTGGCAAAGGCGGAGGCTTTTCCAGCTCCCCCCGTGAGGCCCAGGCCAAAGGCACACCAGCCTCAACCTCCTCCTCCCCGTGTTGCCATCTCTGGCAGAGTGGCCATGAATTTGGGAATGTTGTTCCAGAGTAGACAGGGAGACAGGCCGTGGGGAGGCTGGCCGTGGTTCCAGGCCTGGTAGGCACGACGCCCTATGAAGCAGTGAGCTGCCTGACCTTCAGGTGGTTCCAGGGAGCTTGGACACCAGAGACACTGGCCTATATACATACTGAGAAGTTAGGACTGTAGACCCCACAGTCTGTGGTTTTGAGATTCTAGGATCCTTTAAATCGAAGGAATGCTGTTTTATGATTCTGAGGTCCTGGTGTTATACTATTTGAAGACCCCAGGGGTCCCATGCCTGGCACTCTCAGAGCTTCAAACCTGGATCCTCTCTACAACTCAAAAAGGGCCAGGCCTACAGAGCCAGGGAGTTGTCACAGTGGCCAGATGGACATCACCTACCACATTCACCAGCACCCACGTCACCCCACCTGGGCCAAGCCTGCTGCAGGACAGGGCAGCCAGTTCTCGGAACGAAACCTGTGGGGTGGGGTATCTGCCCTCTTCTCTTCCTCCGTGGTGTCGATGAAGCCCAGCGCATCCGGCCGCCATGACGTCAATGGCGGAAAAATCTGGGCAAGTCAAGGGCTGTGACAACAGGCCCCAGATGCAGACCCCGATATGAAAACATGATCTGTGTCCCAGAAACATCCCCCATTCAGCTTCTGAGAAACCTAGTCAGAAAGGGACGTCCCAACAGACAGTGCAGGAAGCCGGCTGCCCAGCCCGACCCTCCAGGTCCCCTACTCCCAGACAGCATCTCCATGGTCCTTGTCTGAGAATGTATCTATGCTTCGCTGAGTCAGGCCATCCCACGTGTTTGGGGAGAATTCTTAGCTCTGGCCACATGTCCAGGCAGCTTCAGAAGTGACCTCAGGCTATCTGCGTAGGCCAGGCCAGAATGGTGGAAAACATCCGTTCGCACCGAAATCGGCATTAGTTTGTTCTGGCTGCTGTAACCAAGTACCACAACCGAGTGGCTTCAGCAACAGAAATTGATTATCTCACAGTACTGGAGGCCGGAGTCCAAGATCAAGGTGTTGGCAGGGTTGGCTCCTTCTGGGGGCCGTGAGGGAGAAGCTGTTCCAGGCCTCTCCCCCAGCTTCTGGTCATTGATGGCGATCTTTGTTATTCCTTGGTTTGAAGGAGCATTACCCCATCTCTGGCTTCATTCATTCACTCATTCATTCACTCACCTCATCTCACCAGTACTCTCACAGACCCTTGTTCGGAGCCTCCACAGACCCACAGTCTGGATTCTCACACAGTAATGTTCTAAGCCCCCAGGAGACTAAGAACTTAATACCTGTATTCTCACACTCATCTCCCTCGGCACCACAGCTCTGACAACCCCCAGGGGGTGACAGCAAAGAAAGGAAGGGGCAACTGCTCCCCCAGAACCCTTCTATACTCCCCCAGGCTGCTCTCAGCAGCTGTGTGCCCAACTCAGTGTTGTGAGGTGGAACGGGGAGACAGAGAGACAAGACAGACAGACAGACAGACACACACACACACACACACACACACACACACACCACACACACACACACACACACACACCAGAGAGTTTGTAAAATGTGCACATGGACACACACTTCCTAAAGAAAGTTGAGTTCTCAAATCGCTATGAGACTACGAAACTCAGCATCTGAGCATCCCCTTCCATAAAATGGGGTTGGCTGGGCAGTCCCTTCCAGCTCTGGCTTCCTCTAAGGCCAGGATTACAGGATCCCGAAAAGCCAAGGCTTCCCTCAGGGAGTAGAATGTTCTGGCGTTCAGCAGAGGGACCCAGAGCCATTGTGGAGGGCTTTCAAGGTGAAGACAATAGAAGAGCAGGCCCTGCATGGCTTAGACAGGGGAAGAGGAGAAGGAGTGGGCATTCCAGGCAGGGCAAATAGCATGAGCCAGGCTTGAGGGCCAGAAATTGAGGTGAACTCTGATAGGGGCTGGGCTGAGGAGTTTCCACAGGCCCCAGCTCAAAAGAGCCCATCTCTCCTCCTCTCTGGCACCTGCCATGCTAGATCCATGCATGATCACAATTCTGGACTCGCCTCCTTGCCCTGAGATCCAGACTCCCATATTCAGCTGCCCCCTCAGCTTCTCCACTCACACATCTAATGCCAGATTCTTCATGTCCATCCACACCTGCACTTTCACGCCTAACCCCACTCCCCGCCATGTCCCCTATCTCAGGTAATGTCAGCTCGGCCCTTCCAGCTACTCAAGCTAAAACCCGTGTCACTTTGACCCCTCCCTCTCTTACCCACTATATCCAAGCTGCCTGCACTTCTCCCAATCCTGCTTCAGATTAGTCTCAGAATCTACCCACTTCTCACCTTCTCCACTGCCACCAGCCCATTCTGTGCCAGCATCATCACTTGCCAGGACTGTTGCAATGGCCTCCTCACTAGCCCCACTCACAGAACCCAGATGAATTTTTTGAGTCCATGCTTAGTCACAGGGCAAAATAGGACTCCCAGGAGAAAGTCTGAGACTAGCTCCAGCAAGATAAGCAAAGGCAGCCTGTGCAGGGTTCAGGGAGGGCTGGAGGCCTGAGGCTTGAAGACAGGTCTCAAGTGGAAGGGGAAACAACCATTGCCCTTGTACACACCAGGGCTGTGCTGGCATGGGCAGGCAAGCCAGGTGCTGGACCTGTGCACGTGGGGCATGTGTGGGTATGCACATGTACCTGGGTTCCTGACACGTGTGTGTGTGTGTCTGTGTGTGTGAGTGTGTGTGTGTGTGTCCAGAGCTGGGGTGCCGCTGTGGGGCCCTTTGGGACATGTCCCAGCCAATGCCTGCTGTGACCAGAGGGGTGTCCACGTGGTTCAGGTGGTCAAGTATTTCATACTGCCCCAGCACACGTGTGACTCCTTTCCCTTATGTCTACGCAGCCTGCTCTCAGACAAGGACTCGATGCCCAACCCCAGGCCAGTCAAGCCCTCAGCCCCTTCCTTGGCCCTTGGCCCATCCCCAGGAGCCTCGCCCAGCTGGAGGGCTGCACCCAAAGCCTCAGACCTGCTGGGGGCCCGGGGCCCAGGGGGAGCCCTCCAGGGCCGAGATCTTCGAGGCGGGGCCCATGCCTCCTCCTCCTCCTTGAACCCCATGCCACCATCGCAGCTGCAGGTGAGGCCCAGGGCCCAGGATGGGGCAGGCAGGGTGGGGTACCTGGGCCTACAGGTGCCGACCTTTACTGTGGCACCAGGCGGGAGGGGGGCTGGCTGGGGCACAGGAAGTGGTTTCTGGGTCCCAGGCAAGTCTGTGACTTATGCAGATGTTGCAGGGCTAAGAAAGTCCCCACCTGCCAGGCCTCGGAGATCGGAGGCTCTCCCCGACCTCCCAATCCCTGTCTCAGGAGAGGAGGATGCCGTATCATAGTCCCATGGGCATAGCTATGTGTCCCCATCCCCATGTGACAAGAGGAGAAGACTGGGGCTCAAGGAGATGAGGTGACAGGGTTGAGGCCAGCTCTGCCATTTATTAGCTGTTTGATCTTAAAAAAAATCACTCGATCTCCATGAGCCTCAGTTTCCACATGTGTAAAAGGGGGACAATCATAGTATCTACCATGTGGGCTTGCAGTGCAGAGTATATGAATTAGACACAGAACAGTGAGGATGAGGATGACCTCTCACCCACCTGCCTTTCTGCCCAGCTGCCCACACTGCCCCTAGTCATGGTGGCACCCTCCGGGGCACGGCTGGGCCCCTTGCCCCACTTACAGGCACTCCTCCAGGACAGGCCACATTTCATGCACCAGGTATGGACCATGAATGGGCAGGGAGGAGGGAGCAGGTGGGAGAACTGTGGGGAGGGGCCCCAAATCAGGCTGAGCCATAGCCCACATGTGCCCTCCAGCTCTCCACAGTGGATGCCCACGCCCGGACCCCTGTGCTGCAGGTGCACCCCCTGGAGAGCCCAGCCATGATCAGCCTCCCGCCGCCCACCACCACCACTGGGGTCTTCTCCCTCAAGGCCCGGCCTGGCCTCCCACCTGGTAACACCCCAGCCCATACCCCATGGCTTCACAGAACCCCCAAGTCCCCAGATCCTTGGCCGTGAGCAGTGTAGGCTATTCTGAATTGCAGTCCTCTGGGACGTCAAAGGTGTCAGGTCTCAGAGGCTTGGAAACTCCAACCTCCAAAAAACGTCAGGTGCAGAACCTTAAAGATGCCGAATGTCAAAATTATGAAACCACAGAGCTTTACAAAGCTAGTCAAAATGTCAGCACCTGCAAATGGCCGTCTTTTAGCTTCTCTGCCAGAAGCCTGGGAATTTGGGGACAGCAGAGCCCCTGGGAGTCAGAGTTTTCGAGGCTCAGGAGGGTGGAAAGCTCAAAATGAGAGGCCTTGTGGGCCAAGCTCCAGAGCCCGGCCCACAGCCCCCAAAGGTGCCCTGTCCCCATCCACAGGGATCAATGTGGCCAGCGTGGAGTGGCTGTCCAGGGAGCCGACACTGCTCTGCACCTTCCCAAATCCCGGCGCACCCAGGAAGGACAGGTCAGTGGACGGGGCTGGGAAGGATCCTCAACCTTCTATCCCCTCCCCTGACACCCTTTGTTCCCCCAGCACCCTTTCGGCCACATCCCAGAGCTCCTACCCACTGCTGGCAAATGGCATCTGCAAGTGGCCTGGATGTGAGAAGGTCTTTGAAGAGCCAGAGGACTTCCTCAAGTGAGTGGCCCAGGCCTGTGCCAGTCCGCCAGTCCTGGCTTGTGGAAGGAGGTCTGGGGTGCAGATCCTAGCCCAGGCCTCATCCCAATAGGTAGCAAGATGAAAGAGGTAAACTCTGAGACTGTGGGTTCAAACCCCAGCTCCATCCCTCACTAGCTGTGTGACTTTGGACAAGTTACTTAGCTTCTGTGGACCTCAGTTTCCTCATATGTATAATAAGAAACATTTATGCTGTTATTTACCTCCATTTTACAGACAAGGAGACTGAGGTCAAAGAGGTTAAGTGTCTTGATCAAAATCTCCCAGTTCCTGAGTGACAGTGCTGGGATTTGAACCCACACAGCCAGGCTCCGGAATCTGAACTCCTAACTGCTTTGCCCTGCTACTCCTCATGCCAACATGCCAGCCTTATTCTACTGTCTCCAAAGTTCTAGCTCTTCCAGATGGCTGCTGCTGCCTCCTCTCAGTTCCTCCACCTCTCCCTCTCCCTCTCCCTCCCTCTCCTCCCCCCCCCCCCACACACACCCCACACTACGCACAATCCTTAGCAGCAACTCGAATGTCCTGTCTTCCTTGTGGCCAGGCTTTGCACAGGCCGTCCCCTTCACCCAGAGTGTCTTGCCCACTCTCACCTGCCTGGCCCCATCACAGCTCACCACACTTCCAACATTACCTCCAGCACCCTGGTCAGGTGGTAAGCTCAGCCCTGACATGCAGTGGGTGCCAAGTGGCACATGTTGAGGGAATGAGGGGTGTGAGAGGGAGACTGACATAGAAAGTGGAGGGGAGCTGGAGCTCACAGGAGAGACCTCCCAGAGGGCCTGGGCCCTCCCCATTCAGAGCGTTGAGCCAGGCCAGCCCTGTCATGGTCACCTGCATGGAATCTTCTCCCTACTTAGGCACTGCCAGGAGGACCATCTTCTGGATGAAAAGGGCAGGGCGCAATGTCTTCTCCAGAGAGAGATGGTACAGTCTCTGGAGCAACAGGTAATTCTAGGGTGGTGGGGGATAGGGGATAGGGAATAGGGATAGTGGGGAAAACCTTCTGTCCACCACGTGCCAGAAACCAAGTTCACCTGGGATGAGGGCTAGTATAAAGGAAGGAAGAGGAGCAGGCACTCCCATGGAAGACCATAGCCTGGGCAAAGATGTGGCAGAGAAAGGCCAGGCTGAGGCCTCATGTTTGTGCCATTTCACAGCTGGTGCTGGAGAAGGAGAAGCTGAGTGCTATGCAGGCCCACCTGGCCGGGAAAATGGCAGTGCCCAAGGCTCCATCTGTGGTGAGCAACCCCAGGCCTGCTGGTGGCAAACTCAGACTGCTGGGGAGCAGGGAGGAGGCCTGCAGGGTGCAGGGAACCTAACCTCACATGCAGGCCCTGAGAGCTAGGGGCCCCTGTCCCCAGCTCCAAACATGCCCGGACCTGGAAATCTATCCCCCTCCACTTACAAACCCTCTGACCCTAAGATTCCGAAACACTGTGATCCTGAGTTGTCAAAGCAAATGCAAATAGCCAAAGACGCAGGCTGTGTGCCAGCAGGACCAGCTATGTAACCTACAGGGCCCCTTGTTCAGATTTCAAGATGGCAACCACAAAGCATTAAACAAAGCACAGGGTGTCACATAACCACACAGGTCACATGCACATGAAGCCACCCTGGGGGCCAGACACTGTTTCTGAGCGCTTTGCTGGTGGTAATTTATTTCTCAGGATGTCAATATACAGATGAGGAAAATTGAGGCCAGGGAGGTTTAGGTGACTTTCCCAAGGTCACAGTTGGGTGGTAAAAACCACTATTCAACCCCAGCTCATGGTCCCAGCATCGGTGGCCATATATGGCGTCCGCACCCGTGCTCTAATAAATACGGCTCATGCTGTTTTGTGGGATTCCACCTCAGACTGGAATTGAGAAGAGGGCGTCCTTGCTTTGAAAAACACTGTTTTAAAAATAAAGTGGGGGCAGACGAAATAGCTCATGTCTGTAGTCCCACGACTTTGGGAGGCCGAGGTGGGTGGATCACCTGAGGCCAGGAGTTCGAGACCAGCCTGGCCAAAATGGTGAAACCGCAGCTCTACTAAAAATACAAAAATCAGACAGATGTGGTGATGGGTGCCTGTAATCCTAGCTACTCGGGAGGCTGAGGCCAGGAGAATCGCTTGAAACTGGGAGGCGGAGGTTGCAGTGAGCTGAGATCACACCACTGCACTCCAGCCTGGGCAATCAGAGCAAGGAAAAAAAAAAGAAATTAAAAAGTGAGAAGTTTAGGGCTGGGCGCGGTGGCTCAAGCCTGTAATCCCAGCACTTTGGGAGGCCGAGGCGGGTGGATCACGAGGTCAAGAGATCAAGACCATCCTGGTCAACATGGTGAAACCGTCTCTACTAAAAATACAAAACATTAGCTGGGCATGGTGGGGCGTGCCTGTAATCCCAGCTACTCAGGAGGCTGAGGCAGGAGAATTGCCTGAACCCAGGAGGCAGAGGTTGCGGTGAGCCGAGATCGGGCCATTGCACTCCAGCCTGGGTAACAAAAGCAAAACTCCGTCTCAAAAAAAAAAAAAAAAAAAAAAGTGGGAAGTTTAAGTCTCTGGGTCACCAGCCTCTTCCCTTCTCAGGCGTCATCTGACAAGGCCTCCTGCTGCATTGTAGCTGCTGGCAGCCAAGGCGGCATGGTCCCAGCCTGGTCTGGCTCCCGGGAGGCCCCCGACAGCCTGTTTGCTGTGCGGAGGCACCTGTGGGGCAGCCATGGAAACAGCACATTCCCAGGTAAGAATAGTCCTTGCACTACACGGTGCCCCCAAGCTCCTAATCCTGACCGGCTCTGGGAGGAGGGTGCAAAGGAGCTCCATACTGCCCCTTCCCACCACCACCACCACCACAGCTACCACCACTCAGCCTTTGGGAAAATGCATCCGCTCACAAAAGCTTCCTCTCAGGATGTCCGTGACCTAAAAGCCCCCTATAGAGTCTCAAGTATCCTGCCATAGCCCTGTCTCCGTTGAGGATTGGAGTCGTGCCTCACCCACTCTGAACTCCAGCTACTCCATTCAGTCATCAGAAGGGAGGGCCCTGCTAAGGAATTACAGGGACACCTCTTTCCTCCCCTGACTAAGGAAAACTGGGATGTTCACCCAAGCTCACCAATCCACTGCTCTCCACCAGGCCTGGCCTGTGGGCTTAGCAGGGATCAGAGACCTTGACTGGCATCCCCGCTCTGCCATTTAACCTCTTGCATCCCTTTAGTGTGCAAGTTACTCCACTTCTTTTCAACCTCGGGGAGAACTATTTTGGCAGAAGTGGTACAAAGAATAAATTATACAACTTATGTCAGGTGCTCAGCAGACAGTACCTGTGCCCATGGACACGGGTGTTGATGGCGGGATCTCAGGCCTGTAGACTCACCTTGTAGGGGGGAGGGAAGAGGGAGCTAGCTAGGAGGTCCTACATGGGGCCTGATTCATCCCCACCCTCTGCCAGAGTTCCTCCACAACATGGACTACTTCAAGTTCCACAACATGCGGCCCCCTTTCACCTACGCCACGCTCATCCGCTGGGTAAGCAAAGCAGCTCAGCCCCAAGGAGGAGGAAGAGAAAGACGGGGTGGGGGACCTGCCTCCCGAACTCCTGTCTCTCTCTGAGTGCCCTCGGAGTGGGCTTCTCCATTTCCAAGCCCCAGCCCAAAGGAGCCCCAAGCCATGCCTCAAATGTGACCGCTCATCCTGGCTTCACCCTAAACAGTGGTTCACAGAGGATCCTGTCCTCGAATCCAAACCTAAACCACCATCCAGGCCAGAGCATGCCAAATTCTGACCCTAAACCTACCCCTTTCCAGATAGCCACCTCAGCCCCATACCTAACCCTCTCCTGGACCTATAAAATAGCCCAAAACTAACACCATCTCTGCACTTTGCCATGGACATGCCCTAGCTCTTACTCTAACTCCTTCCCCTGCCTTTATGCCAACCCAACCCCATCTCCTTCCCTGGTCCCAATGTACCCCAGTATGTCAATACACCCCCGGCTGGGCCCCATCCCCAACCCTTCCTTATAACACCCATTTGACCCTTAACTTCATCACCCCATCCCAACTCCTTCATCTCAGCCTCCCCAATGCCTTCTCAGAACCTTCATCCTAACCCCACACCTAACCCCAAACCTGAACATAACCCCTACATGATACCAGACATTCCCCAACTGTCTCTGAACTGAAGCCCTAACCTAGCCCCATCCTGGCTCATGACCTTACTGCAATCATCATCGCTAACTCTGTAATCCCATTCCTGAATCCAAACTGATCAAATTATCTGACCCTCAGCCTCACTCCACACCAAACCCCACAACTAACCTCATCCTTGCCCCAAGCCTAACCACCTAACCATGTCCCTGACATGTAAGATACTCGATAATTCGACCCATCTCTGGCTCCTGACCTAAAGCCATATCATCCCATCCTTCACCCCTAGACCCACCTGAGTCCACTCCCAGCCTGACTCTTAACCCACCTCTTCCCTGACCTTTAAGTCTGCCTGGCCCTTTACCCCTTCCAAATCCTTGACCCCACTCCTGATCCTTCACCTTCCCCAACCCTGAAATGTCACCCTCATGGAGAACCCCAGCTCCAACTCCATCCCAGACCTTTCACCTCACTCCAGCCCGAGCCCTGAACAAGACCCACTCCCAATCTCAGCCCCATCCCTTACCTAATCCCAGACAACCATACCCACACCCTACATCAAACCCTGCCCAGCCCCACACTTTACCCCTTTTCTAACACCATCTTTGACTCCGTGCTTCACCCCACATCTAGTCCTGTCCCTGCTCACCTGCCCGCACAATTCCACCCCCATGTCAGATGGCTCAGGGTAGGTCACAGCCCCTCTAAACCCCAACTTTGGGGAACATGCCCCTTACCCCACCCCCCAACTTCCAGGCCATCCTGGAGGCTCCAGAGAAGCAGCGGACACTCAATGAGATCTACCACTGGTTCACACGCATGTTCGCCTTCTTCAGAAACCATCCTGCCACCTGGAAGGTGAGCTCCTCTGGAGGTGGTGGTGACTGGGATGGCCTCAAGTGCCACCACAGCTCGAAGTGAACAGGTCTGGGGCTGGGCTGATAGGCACATTGGGGAGGATCGGGAGGTGGGTTGTGGTTGGCAGCTGCTGGCCTCAGAGGTTGACGCCCACCCACTCCCTGTCCCTGGCCTTCCACAGAACGCCATTCGCCACAACCTGAGCTTGCACAAGTGCTTCGTGCGAGTGGAGAGCGAGAAGGGGGCTGTGTGGACCGTGGATGAGCTGGAGTTCCGCAAGAAACGGAGCCAGAGGCCCAGCAGGTGTTCCAACCCTACACCTGGCCCCTGACCTCAGGATCAAGGAAAGGAGGATGGACAAACAGGGGCCAAACTGGTGGGAGACAGAGGTGGTGGGGACAGGGATGACAGGCCCTGGATGTGCCCACAGGGACCAAGAGAAGTGAGGTTTCCACCATCTTGCCTGCAAGGGCCCCTGTTCCCCCGTTGGCAGCCACCCCTCCCCCATCATATCCTTTGCCCCAAGGCTGGTCGGGGGGCCCCAGTCTCAGCCCCAGTCCCCACCTCTACCCCAGATACCCCCCCCAGTCGAGCCCTACAGCCAAACAGCCTGCCTCAGCTGCTCGCACAGATGACTTCAGGGCTGGAAAAGTCACACAGACACACAAAATATCACAATCCTGTCCCTCACTCAACACAAATCCCAAAACACAGAGAGTCTGCCTCAGTACACTCGAACAACCTCAAAGCTGCGTCATCACACAATCACACACAAGCATGGCCCTGACAACCCACATACCCCAAGGCACACACCCACAGCCAGCCTCAGGTCCCACAGGGGCACTGTCACACGAGGGTGTGCCCAGAGGCCTACACAGAAGCAGCCTCAGCACCCTCAGTATCTCAGGTCCCACAAAGCCACACAGACACATAATTGCTCATACATGGTCTCATGCAGCTCCCAACACATGCTCGGTCACACACATGGCCTGTTAGAACTCACCTGCATATCTCACACATGTACACACACACAGCCCCCCAGTGGGTCTGTTGAGTCCCATGTAGACACACATAGCCACACACACTGACTTGCCAAAAATACCCTGTCTCCCCTGCCACTCACCTCACTCCCATGCCCTGAGCCCTGATCCATGCCTCAGCTTAGACTGCAGAGGAACTCCTCATTTATTTGGGATCCAAGGCCCCCAACCCACAGTACCCTCCCCAATAAACTGCAGCTGAGCTCCTCACATGCTGGACTATCACCCCAGATAAGGGTTGTGGTCAGTGGGCAGGGGTCTGGGTCCAAGGCGGCGGCAGAAGGAACTGGGCAGCAGAGGGAGTAGCGAGGGCAAGTGCTTGGCCACTGCCTCCAGCACCCCAAATCCCTGCCTGAGGCTGGGGAGAGACCTCTGCTGGCGGCTCCTCAGGCCTCCCGGACCCGGCCCAGGAGGCCAGCGTTCTCCTGGCGGAGGGCTCGGTAGTCCTCCCGGATCTTCTCCAGGTTGCTGAGGGTCTTCTTGCCCAGTTCTGTCTCGATCTGAGGCAACGTGAACACATGCCCTTTCAGCACACACAGCCCCTTTCCCAGCTCCTGCTCGCCAGCCCCCATCATAGCCTGCTCTGGGCCCGTCCCACCGCCTCCAACCATAGCCTGCTCTGTCCCATGCCCAGGCCTTCTCACGTGGTGTTCCCTCCACCCAAAGCATCCTTCACCACCTGGCAGGATTCCCCCTACGTCTTCAAGCTGAAGCCTCTGTTCATGGCCCTGGGAAGCAGGCAGGAGGGCCCTTGGGGTAGAAGCTGGGGCTCACAGTAGGCCACTTGCCTGTCCTAGGTCACAGGCACAGGCACTAGGGGGCAGGGCTGGGCTTCTGACCATAGGCTGTGTCTGGCTTCACGGCCTCTCCCAGCATAACCTGAGGAACTGTTCCCTGGTCTGCCTTGGCTTCCTATCCTGCTCCCAGGCCTCACCTGCTCCTCGAGGTCTCGAACCTCCCGCATGATGGTGCCCGTGTCCTCGATGGTCTGGATGAGCTGGCTGCAGTTCTGGGAACAGGAAAAAGGCTTGCACCCAGCCCCACCCACCCCCAGTGGCCCCGCCCCAGGCACACTTCCCTCACCTCGTGCAGGGCAGCTAGATACTTATAGGCCTTCCGAACAGCATCATCCTTCTTAGCATCCTGACCAGACACAGGGACCTCGAAGATATCAGTGGGCTGCCCCCGACCATCTCTATGCCCCAAGAAGGCCACCCTCTCCCACAGCCCCACTAGCTTCATCCTCCATGGAACAAAGCCAGCCCTGGGCATCAGTGCACCTCCAGCCTCGCACGGGGCCCAGGTCTGGACCCCAGCCAGCCCGTGAGCAGATGCACAGGCAGCAGCCCAGCCTCACCCCACTCACCCCCACCCAGCCTGCCCCACACCTTGAACACGAGCTCATCAGTCACTGCAAACGTCCGGTCCAGCTTCCCAGAGAGGGAGTTGATTTCCTTCTGAAGCTCCTTTGTGTCAGACAAGATCTGGCAGACACCATGGTAGCCATGAGCCCCTGCCTGGGGCAGGGTGGCTGGCAGTAGAGGGTGCTCATGTGCAGCAGACAGGGACTGTGTCATCATCAGGGGTGACTGGGATGGATTGCGTGTGACTGTTCTGTGTCAGGGTGTGGCTGGACAGCTCTGTCTACCTGGGGGTGTGAGGTCCCCGTGCTGCCACACTATGCCTGACAGCCCACACGACCCACCCTCCATGGCCCTGGCAGTGTACCTTGGTGATCTCTTCCTTCTGCTTCCGGATGTTACCCACAATCTCTAAGATGCGCTGGGTGTAGGCCAGCCGGGACACATCTCTGGGCAGAGTCTCCAGCTCTGACACCTAGGTAGGGACATAGCAGGCACTCCCCCAGGACCCATCCCTCACCCTCCTAAGCCACCCAGGTCCCTCACACAGGCCGTACCAGCTGCTTATAGACCTCTTCCTTCCTGCGGGCCTCTTCAGCAGCCGCCCGGACACTCTGGTGCAGTTCTTGGATCTCTGCCAGCCGTCGAGAAGATTCCAGCTGCCAGAAGCCCACAGGCAGAAGACAGTGTGCAGAGCACAGGGATGGCCACCTACAGAGGGACACAGCCTGCCCTGGCCCACCCACAGCCCAGGGCCCCACTGCTTACCTCTCTGCAATCCTGCAGCTTTCGGAGGTGGCGGTACTCAGCGAGGAGTGGGACCCGGTGCTTCTCCCACTGACCCGCCAAGTGGATGACCCGCTGGGCGCTACTCTCCACCACAAGCTGGTGGGGGGTGGGTATGTGTCACACAGGCTGGGCCCTCCAAACCCGCCCCCCCCCCCCCCCCCCCCCCCTGCCCAGCCACAGCCCCAAACCCACCTGCAGCTTGGCAAGGTTGGCGGCCCCATCGGGCAGCAGCTCCACTGCGCGGCTCTTCAGGCGCAGGGCCTGCTCACGCTCCGCTGTGCTGAGCTCACTCTGCCGGCACTCAGACTCTGCCTGGCCCACAGATACCCGGTCACACGCCGCAGCCCCCATGGAGCTCCACAGATGACTATACACCCCTGTGACCCCCACAGGCCTCTCTAACAGCTCCATGCTGGTGCCAAGGACCCCAAGGACCCCCCCAAATCTCCTGTTCTTGCAGACCTGTGGTGCCCCACAGATCCCCACGGACCCTCCGAGGACCCCCCAATCCTCTGCCCATGCAGGCCCACAGTGCTCCACAGATACCCACAGACCCTCCAAGGATCCCCTAATCCCCTGCCCATGCAGGCCCAGTGCCCCACAGATGCCCACAGACCCTCCGAGGACCCCCCAATCCCCTGCCCATGTAGGCCCACAGTGCTCCACAGATGCCCACAGACCCTCTGAGGACCCCCCAATCCCCTGCCCGTGCAGGCCCACAGTGCCCCACAGATGCTCACAGACCCTCACCCTGGCCTGATTCTCACAGCCACCCTCAAGAGCCCCACAGATCCCCAACAGCTCCCAGGAACCCTTCTGCCATTCGCAGACCTCTACAACCCTTCTGCCATTCGCAGACCTCTACAGAGCACCTCTTGCCCCACCTAGTCCCTCACACCCCGAGGCCCTCCTTCTGACCTACCCCAAAGCGCAGCCCCTGCCCCGCCCCTCACCTGCACGAAGCTGATGCCCAGGGTCTTCATGTTGGCCTCAACCTCCTCAATACTGCAGTTCACTCCTTCCAGCTGCTCCCGAAGGGACTCAAGCTCCTGTTCCTGAGCTGCCCACATGTTCTGGGAGGCCCAGGCCAGTCAGGGTTGGGGTATCAGGCTCAGCAGACAAGCAAGGGGCTGAGACACCACCCCTCTACCCCGCTCTGCTCACCTGTTCAGGCCGCCGGGAGGTGGCCGGCACATCTGACACCTGAGTGGCCTGGGCCTGGGGCTCCTGAGGGAGTGACAAGGGGCATCCTGGCTGTCAGGGAAAGCCCTTCCTCAACCAGCCTCAGCCTCCCCTGAGAACTGCCCCTGGTGCTGCATGCCCACTCAACCACTGATGGCAGCCTGTGACTCTGAGGGTAAAGGCACCACCTGCAACCCCAGGCCGGAGTGCTTGCTTGTGGAAAAAGCTCCCTGACCCAGATACAGCTCCTACCTACCTGCCCCATATCTCAAGCCTCAAATGCCCATGAGAAGGATGGGGGCCCCTCAAAGTGGACATCTTAGGAGAGAAGATATGCTCAGAGGAAACTGCCTAGGGAAAGGGGATGTTGCCCTAAGAACACCCTCACACCCTTGCATGGTTCCCACCTATCCACATTTTCTCCAGTCAAGTCCCTGCGAAGCTAGGGGACCCCTCTGGGTACCCACCCCCCAGTGGGGTGAGGGCCTGTCCAGTGGGAACACAGGACCCCGTGTGGATAAAGGGGTGGTGCTTATACAAAAAGCCACCCTCCAAGCCTGCCACGCCCATCAGCACATCCCATGTCCACAGGTACACCCACCAGATGGAAGGTGAATTTCTCAGAGTGTGTGAAGCGGGACCCCTTAGGAGCACCAGTCTTGGCCCCAGCACCCCAGGCCTGCAGCAGCTCTCCCAAGTCTCGGGCTTGTGTGGGGACCCCAAGCGGGCCCCAGCTTTGGCGCAGATGCTCAGTCAGTTGCTTCTGCAGCCGCTGCCGCTGAGCCCGTGTGTCCTCCTGGGGAGAGAAGGCAGGGGAAGCAGGAGGGTGTAGGGGCCTGCCTAGCCTCCAAGGCCCTGCCTCCTCCAAGGGCCCCCTGACAAAAGGCTACAGACAAGTCACCCCCACTCTCCAGCCCTCCCACTAAAGCAGGCCCTGCCCTATTCTGCCCCACCGGCCTGGGATCTCCCCGAGGACAGGGGTCTCCTCTTGCTCACAGACATACTTCCCTCCACCCACTAGCTCCCATGCTGGAGAAGGATGTGGGAAGAGAGGAGAGTGAGCCGAGAGCCCCCAAATCCAAGAGAAGCATAGACAGGATATCAGGGGACAGGGCAGAGACAGGGAATCCAAGGTGCCAGGCACAAAAGGAGGCAGAGAGAGAGAGGCAAGAGAGGGACAAGAACAGAGAGTTTCAAGATAACTGGAAAAATCTGATTATGAACTCAGTGTCGGATGGTATTAAGATATTATTGTTGGCCAGGCACAGTGGGCTCATGCCTATAATCCCAGCACTTTGGGAGGCCAAGGTAGGCAGATCACCTGAGGTCAGGAGTTTAGACCAGCCTGGCCAACACAGTGAAACCCTAACTCTACTAAAATTACAAAAATTAGCCAGGCATGGTGGTGTGCACCTATAATCCCAGCTACTTGGGAGGCTGAGGCAAGAGAACGGCTTGAACCCGGGAAGTGGAGGTTGCAGTGAGCCGATATCATGCCACTGCACTGCACCCTGGGCAACAGAGCAAGACTCTGTCTCAAAAAAAAAAAAAAGATATCATTGTTAACTTCATTAGTCATGAAAATGGCCCAGTGGTTACCTTGAAAACTGAAAGTCCTTATGAGTGAAGAGATGTAGTCCTAAGTATTTAAAGTTCAAATCACATGATATCTGGGATTTGCTTTAAAATAATACAGCAACAAAGAAAAAGTTGGGAGAGAATAGGTGAAAAAAAGTTGGCAAAATGGTACCTAGGATTCATTGGAATATTCTCTCCACATTTATGTGTGAAAATTACTATAGATTATAAAAACAGAGACAGACAGCCAGGCACAGTGGCTCACGCCTGTAATCCTAACACTTTGGGAGGCTGAG